CAATTCTGATGATAGATGTTAAATAGCCATTCCCGCATTACCACCCTGTGAATTCCCGCTCCTACCGGAAAGGTTCCTGTGGCACATAATTATAATAGGTGAGATAAAAAACTGGTCGGTTCCTTCAAAGCGTGTGACCTTATGCGTAGCTAATAGATAAAGGACGCGAATTGAGGCATAGATTCATTCAAGACACTTTTTCCCCTGTTTAGCGCGTAAAGCTTTCTAAAATATACTAGTGGGGACTCAGACGCTATACGATCGTTCAGCCACCATGATAATGATAGGTATACGCAAGTTCACCGAATCACCCGGCTGCTGTCGTCTAGTGGCTAATGTTCTCGGCTGCTGGCGCGCAGGTTGCGGGATCGAATCCCGGCTGTGGCGGCTGCATTTCCGATGGAGGCGGAAATTTTGTAGGCCCGTGTACTCTGATTTGGGTGCACGCGTCAAAGAACCCCCCGGTGGTCGAAATTTTCGGAGCACTCCACTACGGCGCCTCTCATAATCACGGGGTGGTTTTGGGACGCTAAAACCCCACAAATCAATCAATAAAGTTTACCGATGTCTTCGTGCTTCCGTGCTTCGAAACGCACTTGTGGATTTGTTTATTGCTGTGTTTTGGTTTTGTTTCCACTAAAACAAAAAAACGTACCACTTTGAACTTCGTGACCCGATTTGAATGCTGGGCGAGCCTGAAAGGTTAAAAACGGGGAAGTGCAACTGCTGAAGAAAATTTTCTGATTGTCAGCTCGTGACGTAGCGGCTCCGGGCCACGCAAATCCAAATCCAGCCGGAAGATCGAAGATCAGAGAAATTTGTGTACACCATACCCACCATTCCCACATTGACTGAAGCGTCATTCGTTGCAGCTGCCATAGACACTAGCGGACATGTAAAGGGTTGTAACCAGAACGCTCCCGTTACCTCCTTCAAGCCGGCCTTCGCTACAGCGACACAGCCAGTTACAACCACTAGATACATGACAACAGATTCCACAAGACACTACTTCACTTCATACACAACACCGGCCTAACGGCGCACATTTAACAATAAATATTATGCCTTAAGAGCAAGACTTTGTCGCAAAAAAAAAAAAAGACTTCTCTCTGGCGTATTTACGAGAAACTCCATGAATCACTATACCTATGTGATCAAGAAACCGAAAAAAAAAAAGAACTGCTTTGACGTATCTGTATTAAATTGAACTTCTTATTTGATTAACAAGAATTCGATGTCACATTCAATGAAGTCAGAATAAAAGTGTACTCAACCCTAATGGTTCAGATCAGCGCAGAGAGTGTAAGACAAGGAAATTAAGATGACTGACTTCGTGTATGGAACTAACACCTGACTGCATAGGTATTTTGTTTGAATATTGCTTCGATTCGACTGAGAAAGACGGCCCTGAAGCTAAATCTTTCACGTTGCATGCACGTGTGCACTGCATGATCTTCGTTACTTGCAATTCTCTTTTATTGCTCAGCTGGTCAGTCTGTGAGTGAGTGGGTGGGTGGGTGGGTGAGTGAGAGTGGGTGGGTGGGTGAGTGAGTGGGTGAGTGATTGAGTGGGTGAGTGAGAGAGTGGGTGAATGAGTGAGTGAGAGGGTGAGTGGGTGGGTGAGTGAGTGAGTAAGTAGGTGGGTGGGTGGGTGGGTGGGTGAGTGAGAGAGTGGGTGAATGAGTGAGTGAGAGGGTGAGTGGGTGGGTGAGTGAGAGAGTGGGTGAATGAGTGAGTGAGAGGTTGAGTGGGTGGGTGAGTGAGAGAGTGGGTGAATGAGTGAGTGAGAGGGTGAGTGGGTGGGTGAGTGAGAGAGTGGGTGAATGAGTGAGTGAGAGGGTGAGTGAGTGAATTGTTCAATGAAGACCAACCACAGGTCTTTCCGGTGGGCCCTGGGCAATGGTGGAGTGCCCAGTCATAGATCGCAAGAACCATGTCGAAGCAATACTTTTTTGCAGACTAGTTGGTTCATACTTAAAAAATTGAATTGCTGCACAAACATGAAGAAAAAGACAAACAGGAACTGCGCTTTTTCCTGTCTCCCTTGTTTTTTTCTTCAAGTTTGTGCAGCAATTCAATTTTTTTAAGTATGAACCATGTCTCTCTCGCTACCAGGGAGGCTATTTAGATGTATCCACCTGGTAGACTAGACATATCCGATTCGGCAGAGCGCCTTCAGCTACTCAAAAAGCAGCGAGCAGTGACACCATGGTGCTCTTAACGACATCCACGTATCAAACCCGCCATCACAATCCCAGCAAGAAAGAAAGCGGGTGAAATGTACAATAAGGTGGCCCTTAAACTTGACAGTTCGGAACTTTCCTAAAAACATGTTGAGATGTTCGAAAGCGATGCAGGGAATGCGTACCAACCTTTCATGTGCGTGAGGTGGGAGCCAAGTTACACCAATAGTTCATTGGCGAGCATGAATATAGAGCCCATGCACAGCCGCTGATAAGTGCGTCCAATCACGCGGATCTCTGGGCTCATACATGCGTTGCTGTAAACCGCATTTCGTCCCCCTAATTCTTGACGAGAGTTTTGAAAGCATCGTGACGTTGAAATGAAATAACTGGAAAGTAGGGATGCCCTTTATACTCGTCGAACTCCGGCCGGTCAAAGGAGGCCGAGGTGGATCGATGGTCCAAAAGTTGTACACATCGAGAACAGCGTTCCAGGTTGAGTTGTACCGGGAGTTAACGCAGGACATCAAGGTTATACCATCATTGCATGATCATATATGTACGAATTGATTGGTTGGCACCCATGAGCTGACTCACACAAGTAGAACAACACATATTCAACCCAAATCTGTAACGTGTACGGGCAGTGACCTTTCAATGCGACGCAGCCAACAATGCACGTTCAGCTGGGCCCATCGTCTGCTAGGAAGTTCCTTCTTGAAGACAGGATGTCGCCCCATAGTGGTGCACTTCTGAAGAACCCTGTGCCATATCGCTGAAATTTATTTCCTCGATTCTTTTCTGCATCGTCGACTTTCGGAAGGTGAAATACGAGTAAAACGATTCGCATAGCCATGCTGCCTGTTCGTCTGAATTGCGCTAAGATAAGGTGAGGTCCTTAAAAGCAACAGCCAATCAGGCAATCGGCCCAACTGTGACCTTCACCCTATTTGCGACCTGGCTTCGCTATATGTTCCCGATGTGCAGATAAGCTGCCGTTCGCGCAGTCTGATTCAACAGTTGTGTGGCTTTACTTCATTGAAGTATGCTGAACGCGGAAAATCACTCCACTTCACTCACCCTATTATCGCATGGAGCCTCCAATACCGCAGCTCCAGGGCAGACGCGGAGAATACCGGCTCAATCTAGTACCCCGGAAGCCAATACCAACGGTACCCCAAGTTGCCCAGATTCCTGCATTCGAGCATCAATGAAACATTGCCGATAAGGAACATGAAAGGACATCTTGCTGCCAGCACGATAGACTTATTTCCACTCATTTGCCGCCTTGGTCCTGGGCTGCAACCCGCTGGCTCAGTGTGACGGTTCGTGGGCTTCGATGCCAAAACTTTCATCGTGATTTGAAACAAGTTGGAGATGCAGCCTGTACGGTCGACATCTCTCAGTCAAAGCAATGTTGTACAAAAGGCATTTGTATTTCTAATAATATAAAAGAAATTTCCATGTAGGACATGAAAAAAACGTTTTTCATTACCCGAACGACCTTGCGTATTTTAAAACAATTGTTGGAACTTTGCGTTCTGGGTCTTCAGACACAATTCCGCATGGCCCTTGGCGACGCTTATTTGAGAATGACAGCTTCGCGAGGACAAAATAGGGGGAGGGAGTGATGGAAAGGGGTAAGAAGAGGGGGTAGAGGTTTTAGAGTTACTCAAACAATACTTCTCAAATAGACTGCAAGGTGAGTGCTGTTACCCAGCGTGTCACTGTCATTGCCCCCTTCAAACTGCGCACATGCATTCATACTCTCTAGCAATCGCTGTTGCCGTACGTCTCTCAAGAAAAAACCTTATATATCAGAAAAAAAATTTATACCACTTTGTTTGTACATGAAAAGTACCCCGTCCTTGCCGAAGCAAATGCGGGATCAAGAAAAAAAGTTCTTCCATATCCACGAAGTGAATGATTATCGGTAGGCGAAGCTCCGGAGGTAAACCTGGTAAACCATGAATCCTCCGTATACATTTTGCCCACTCAATTTTATTACAACGCTCCCCCTTGCGTACGTCGCCGCACTTCCACCAATGACACGCACCATATGTAACATCATTCCTACTTTATAACATCTCGCATCTTTCATCATCAACTACAAGTACCGCCGTCTAGTTTATAACATCTTGCATCTTTTCATCATCAAATACAAGTGCCGACATCTAGTGAACACTGCAAAAACTAAACAAGCGGTGGCTACATATACAGGAGATGGTACCGCCATCTAGCGAACACTGCAAGAACTAAACGAGAGGTGGCTACATACAGGGGACGCACAGCTTACGCCTTAAGGAGCTTCGCCCCTAAAAATAAATCACTCGCATCGGGCTCTGCGGCTTCCTTGAAGTCGGAAAGTCCAATGCGGCACTGGTCGCTCGATACTGACGTACCAGTTCAACGAATGTTATTTCATTACAGTGACTAAATGTTATCAACGTTCGTGGAACTTGTATGTCGACTTCAAGCGGTTCTCGTCAATGTCTCTCAGTTCGCATTGTTGTACCATTGTATCCGTCGAAACCTGCTCGCTTCGGACAACAGTGCGATCCGTCACGTTACATTCTGAATGACTGTCTTCTCGCGTTCGTCGCTGGCATGTTGTGGTCGAGAGGGAAAAAAAACTTGGGACGTTTTACAATGGCAGTGGCTCGGAAAAAGATGACGCATATGTTTCAGTAAAATACATACTCTATACAAGACCGCACGATCATAGCAGATGCGTGGTAGACCGAAAAGGAAAATGTAAAGCTACAGGTTGAGCAGCTCTAACGCGCTTCTCGGAGACTATGCACCTTTCTTCGCCAGTACTACGTCAGCGCGCTCGCCGAACGGTGGTGTAGACGAGAACTAAACTCCGTCGGGGTCGGCGAGAGCGTCGGGGTGCTAGACATGAGGCTGCTAGTGGCCGCTTTCGCGGTCGTCATCGTCGTGGCCTCCGTGCCGTCGTCATGCTTCGTCTTCACTCCCGATATGTTGGTGAGCATCGCACGTAACATCTAACCTAATGTCACCACGCCGTCAGTGACTTTTTGAAGGGTATCGGTAATTCATTGGACAAAACCTTAATCAAATCCAGCAGATAATGAAGCCAATTATGCGGAACGTTAATTGTGCTGTTCTAAGTGTCTTTTAGCAGTTGGGATATAGACATCACAATTATTGCGATACGCTTAAAACGGAACCATTAACGTCCCCCCCACCTTACTTGGCTTCGTTATCTGGTCGCTTTCATTGAGGTTTTGTCACGGTAAGTTCACCACATAATGTCGTAAGTTTAACCACTGAGCCACCTCTGATCTAGCGATTACTTCGGAAGTCGTAATAAATAACAGCAAATATGTACCAAATTGTAAAAAAAAAACATTGTTGGCTAACTCTTTTTGCTGAGTTATGACTGGTAAAATACGTGTAATTATCTTCAAATATTCACCTCGGCCCTGTTTTTGAGAGTAGCACGTCGCGATGAGAGTTAAAACTCTCAAAAAACAGTCATGTATCTCTAAAGCAAGGAAGGAAAATAGGAGGAAAAGAACGGCAGGGAGGTTAAGCAGTGTATAGGCAGCTGCTTTGCTACCCTGCGCATGGGAGGGGGATGGGGGAGATGAAAGATAGAGAGGAAAGAGGGAAGAGAGATAAACACAGCACATTAAGCAGCGCACGCACGCACACTCAGTGATAGTCCAGTCTTGCCTTTCGTGGTGTGTGTGACATCGCTGTTACAGCCGCTTGTTCAAGTTCGTGTCGCGTAGGAATTTCAACAGTGCTTTTTGTCGCCTTCTGTTGCAAAGTCGTCTCTCCGGCACTTGACAGAATAGTGTCCACAGACATTTGGCTGCTGTCGATGCGCACAAGAACGGACGCCAGTGACTGTCTCTGGGTGTCATACAACGGACAGTCGCACAGGATGTGTTGTAGCGTCTCTTCGCAACGACAGGCATCGCAGAGAGCGTTGTCGGCCATTCCTTTGACAAATGAATAAGATTTTATAAATGCCACTCCTAGCCATAAGAGATGAAAAAGGATGGCTTCTCTTCGGTCTAGCCCAGTGCGCATGCGGAGAGCCATCAAAGAGGACAGGTTGTGTTGACGATTCGCCTGTGCGGTCTGGTTGCTTGGTGGGCACCATGGTGAAAAAGTGATTTCCCGCGAAAGCCGTCGAAAATTACTGGCAGCATCGGTCCGTGAAAGTGGTATGGCTTCTTCTCGTGTATCTTTAAGAGCTGCCCGTGCGGCAGTAACGGCATGTTCGTTGAATAATATTATCGAATGCGTGGTGTCACTATAGTGTCATTGTTTCAATAAGTGGTCCTCTCTTCGCGAAGGCAGTGACTGTCCACTTTATAGCATGTATACATATGATTCATACACTTCGGCGAAGCTTCACCACAGCGCCCTACCCCTCTTTCCGGTTGCACTCTTTTCAGTTGCACTTTTCCCAATGAAATACCAGGCTATGTCCCTCACGGATGTGACGTAGGATCACGTGGTGGACTGCCCTCCTATCACGTAGTGTTCGCGTTTCAGTAGAGCTCTTTAGTTTTTCGAGGAAACAGTACACAAAAGGACAAAAAAAATCACAGCATATCCACGGAGTGAATGATGATTGGTGGGGCGCAGCGTTTGTCAGTCTGTCTGTCCATTCGTTCTTGCGTCCGCCTATCTGTGTGATCCTTGGTGCATCCATCCATTTGTTCATTCGTCTGTCTGTCCGTCCATCTCTTTTTGCGGCCATCCCTCTGTCTGTCCATCCGTCCGTGCGCCCCTCTGTCTGTCCGTCCGTGCGTGTGTCAGTCCGTTCGTCCGTCCATATGTCTAGAGAAAACTCCAGGCACAGCCATCTCACATCTTTTCATCATGTATTCATCATATACAAGTGCCGCCATCCAGCAGACATTGTAAGGACCGCTATTTCGGGTATGTGCCACTGGTGGTTACGTACTACGAGGGACGCACAAGCCACGCCATAAGGATCTTCGCCCCTAAAAAACACGCACACATGAAAAGACGCTTTCACCAGCATTGTACTCCAACTGCGTGCCGTAGTGGACAGTAATAGGGCTTCCTGTTAACTCGCAGACGAAGTTCAAATTTGGGGGACCAAACGGCCAACAAGGGATAGAGGAATTGAAGAAGTTCCTGAGCGGAATGGGTGGAGGCGGCAGAATAATCACGGGTGGCGGAATGGGCGGTCATCGTGGAGGTGGCGGTGGAAGTCCTGACGAGCCGGTGGACTTCGAAGGGGTCTTCACGCGGTCCATGCGGAAGCTGCAACGACAGGTGCTGAGGAATACCAACCGCTACAGACGCTTGCACGGCGTTCACACCTTGGCGGAGGACGAGCAGGTGAGCAAGCGATAAGCGGGCTGTGTGCTCGGTGAATGCACATAATCGTACGATTGACATTAAATATATATATATATATATATATATATATATATATATATATATATATATATATATATATATATATATATATATATATATATATATATATATATGTGTGTGTGTGTGTGTGTGTGTGTGTGTAGCATAGCCATGGTGTGCGCATAGCAGCGCCGGACCAGCAATGTGTCAACGTAGTCAGCAGAATGAAAAGAACCTTTATTCAAAAGTGTATAACGTATTTATAGGCAGCGTAGTGTTAGTCAGATAACGCTGCGCACGTGGTAGTAGCAAAAGTCCGATGTGGTGCAGGCGGCCAGCTGAGGCGTTAACAGGTGCGCGCGCACACACACACAGAAACCGCGAAGACACAACAATATATATATATATATATATATATATATATATATATATATATATATATATATATTGTTACGGTGTTACAGTTAGATTATATTACAGATTGCCACTAGCTACGACAGCCTTTTGTCCGGAAAGTCAGTGTTCGATTGCCAAGACGCTCTGTATTCGCACAGAAAATCAGCCAAGGACTTCTTGCGTGGTAGTAGCCTATTTAGTAGACTCTAGCACAAAGCTCTATTTTTTTCGCGCATCTGATTTTCTCTTCACTTTCCTTCTCATCTTCCTTTTTCTTTTTCTCTCCTTTTAGAGCAGTTTAACAAACCAAATGCTCCTCGGCTGGCAATCGTGCCGTTATGTAAAAGTTGACAATAAATGTCGACGTGTTCGTTTATGCTATGCTGTGAACATTTAGACTAGGCTGTGAACGCTACGCCCGTTTGTTTCCCGAGCGGCTCTCTTCACATCCCGCAAGTACTATCACGTCGAGGATGGGCAGCGTTTACTGACCAGAGGGCACTGCATTGCTCGCACTGGCCCGTCCGAAGTTCTCTGACATTGTCCCTTAAGGGCACGCGTGATATATACGCGTACACGCGTTCCCCGTGTAGCCCACAGAGTTTCTCAAAATTAACGAGAGGGCACTCTGGCGCTGCGATCGTTCAGCGACCATGGGAATGATGGGTAGTATACACACATTTGCCTAGTCTTCGTACTTGCGTGCAGCGAATCGTACTTGCGGCTTCGTTTATTGCTGTGTTTCGATTTTGTTTTGAAAGAAAAATTCAACCCTTTTGAACTTCGTGACCCAATTCGGAAAGGTAATTTGACAAAAAATGGGTGGCGAAGCGCTATCGCTGAGCATTTGCCGATTCTTGTGTCGTGACAAAACAGCTATAAGCCACACGAACACACACGGAGCCAAAAGCAGGCCAGAAGTACGAACATTAGACAAATGTGTGTACCACCCATCATTCCCATACACGCTGAAGCGCCGTGCGCTGCAGCTCCCATAGACACTAGCGCCAGAGTTCCCTCTATATATTGGAAAACTCTATGGTGTAGCCCACCTACTTATTCAGGAAGGGAGACGCGTTCCATTTCGACAAGCTCCGCCTCATTATGTCTTTTTTTTTTATCCACTAGACTGTGTGTTGTGGCGCTGCAGTCAATCTAAAAAACTCGACTTCATTTTTTTTTCTCGTCGCTGCCGCAGCTGAATCGCTACGCGCAAGCCTGGGCCTTACAGATGGCGCAGATGGACAGCATGCAACACAGGAGGAGGCCGTTACACGGAGAGAACCTCTTCATGTGGTGGAGCAGCGACCTGCGCGCTCCAATCACCGGTGGGTTCACCATGCAGCACCACGTGATCTCGCCTTTTTGCACGGATTGGGTGACGCAGCTAGGAACGCTCGCCACAGCGTGGCAAGGCCCATCAGTGGCCGATGAACGCGCGACCTAACACGACCAACAACGTAACATTTGATCACGACATATTGCTGTGGGCAAAGTCGACACGCCGCGCCAAAGCAGCCGCTACGCGGTGCTGTGTCGCTTAGGGGAAATATATAGTCGAGTGCTGGAAGATGCCAACGGGGGGTGACTTGCGTTCTCACGAGCCATTCCTGTACTTCGATACCGGCTGTTGGCCCTCCAGTTGGTACAAATCATCATCATCATCATTTATTGTCCCTTAAGGGCCCTGGGTTGGGCATTACATAAGAGGGGGGGAGCAGAATATGGGAGCGTGAAAACAGCGTCAGACACAATACAACGGAATGAAGCACAGAAACACAGCTTTTCCATTAAAAAAAGCTTTCAAGAGACTCAGTAAGAAACGATGCACGTATTCAAGTCACCACCACTAAGTGAACCCATATTTTAAAGAAATAGCGTAAAAATATTTAGGTTCAGCAGTAAGTTAGGTGGGCAGATGAGATAAAAACTCCCAAGCATTTCCCCGAGGGTGAACATGGTTAAGTGTGAATACACGGGGTGATGCTATGAGGGGTATTTATTAATTCGCACTATTATATTTATTAATCACACTATGGTGCCTTTATGGTGTAATGGTTCCTGGGAATCGCAATTTGATCACACGAGGGAGTCTACGTTAACTCACTGGCGAATGCCAACGGATTTCAACTTTACTCCCCCTCACGACCCGCTCTCGACGGGAGACTGAAAGAGAAGGCGGCGCGCGAGAGAGAGGGGTGCGCGCGCAGCTGCAGCGAGCGAGGAGAGCGGAGGAGCGAGCGAAGGGAGAGGGGGACTATCAGCGTCGCGTCCGTCGGTAGAGCGTCGCGCTGCGGCCCGCCAAGTCCTCTTTCTTTTAAAGATAGAGAGAAGACTGCGGACGCCGCCGACGGCGGTGGATGGTTTGGGGTCGCTTAGAAAGTGTATTCACACTTAAAATATTTTGCGGGAACAACAATTGGTCAAGATCAGGACCAGTTTTAGTGGCGAGGCATGAAAGAGGTCCTTGCCTGCAGCAAAGGGTGCAGTGAGCATGGTGATGATGATGATGATTATACTGATGATGGTGCTGATGATGATGATGATGACGCGTACACTTATCTTACCTTCTCTCTATCGCCTTTCTTTCAGGACGTATGGCTGTCAAGGCCTGGTACGATGAGATCAAACAGTACGATTACAACAACCCGGGTTTCCGTTCCGGCACGGGCCACTTCACCCAGCTCGTGTGGAAGGACTGTCGTCGATTAGGCACGGGCGTGGCTCGCGGCAGGAAGGGAACCATTTACATAGTGTCCGTTTACGAGCCGCGAGGCAACATCATGGGCCAGTTCGCGGAACAAGTTCCGCGACCTGTATCCGGGGGTGTAGGTGGCGGCGGTGACCACAAGAAAAGGCGGCGTCGCAAAGAGGACGACGAGGACCAGGAGTGAGTGACGGAGCACTGCCGTTACGGTAGGCCTTTTCTTCGGCTATCCGTCCCCGACAGTCCCGAACTGCTCGAAAAGATAGTTAGCAACAGGGGACCATTCAATGTTGTATGCTGAGATGTCGGTCTGGTTGATCGCCTGGCTTAGTACAATAAAGGCACCAGCTGACACATGGTATGTTCAGCAATCACATGAACGGAAGACTACACAGCGAGCACACAAACGGACGACTAGCCCGTACAGTCACACGCACACACATAAAACGGAAGTCGAAGATAAGATGGAGAATTTTAGTGAACGGAATTCGTTGAACGTGATGTGTCACTGAACACAGCAATTCATCTTTGCCCTAACGAAGAGACATGATTTGGTCACGAAGTGGCTATCCCGTTCAACTTAGGTGCTTTTCTTATCCCGGTACGCAGTGCACCGGTGGCGCTTTGCCAAAGGGTCCGAGAACAGTGCACAATGCCAAGGACGAGCCAGGTTTAAAGTATATTGCTATCTTCAGGGGCTGTCACCTCTTTCTCTAGTGGCGGCAGTCATACACACAGAGAGATACGTATTGGCTGTATGAACAGGAGTAAGGTGTCTCCGACAGCGTGGCCAACGTTTTTATGTGTGGGCCCATCTTTTTATGTGATTCTTGAAGAGAAAAGAAAAGTGTGCCCCGTAACTGTCTTTTTTTTTTCGGCCAATCCCCTGCATTGGGTAAGAGCCATGAGATGAGGAGAAGAAGAAGAAGAGTGCGACACCTCGACAGTTGTTCGCGAGGGATGGGAGTAAGGAGGGATTAAAAAGATAGGAATAAAGGTAGAGAGATAGAGACGGGGAAGGAGAGAGCGATGCGCAGCGAGAGCGAACGACAGAAAACGACGGAAGTTAAGAGGAGATAAGAAAAATGGACATGGTCGCAGGAGTCCGAGGACGGAGCACCACTCAGCGAGAGCTCTTGTCGGCGGCAGAAGATGGCGTAAAGCGAGTCAGTCGGTTAGAGCTGCGCTGTCGTTGGAGATCACGGGGGCACAACCAGTCCGCACGAAATCCAGAGAGCGAGTCCTCGTGGGCCTATCTTTGTCAGCGGCGCCATGACGTCCTTGGCGTGTTGGTGGCAAGAGTATCAGCCGATGAGGTCACGTCATTCGCCAGTTCTTCCTCACCATACGTGGTAGAGACCTCTAGTAGCAAGTCAAGCGTCAGTGACTAACGCTTTAGAAGATAACGGGCCAAGCACGGCAAGGTACCCTTGCGAAAGATGGATCCACCTTTTGATACTCCGACCAGGATGCCCGAGATGCCTTACTCGTTTTCATAACACCTACACAGGATGTGATTCGGCACTTCGGCTGCCACATTTACTCTAACGCTCATGACTTCTGTAGAAGAACATGCAGAGCAAGCTGTCGATGTGTCAGTCTAGTTTCGCACTTGGAATAGTCCGTGCGGGCTACTTCGTGCCTAATGGGGCGAACGCATGCCTGACAGCGCCCGAATAAACGTGTTATTGGCCTAGTTGGTTCACGCTGTGCAAAAGGTGATAGCATCACGCAAGGCGAAACCACCAAAGGGTTTACACTATATCTGTGCATACTGTTTCTTGACCTTGCGTCCTGTTACTGCCCTTTGACCTTACCTACTTGACTTTGCCTCGTAGCATTCGTGTTTTTAGCCAGTAAGCGTTGCGTAAGAAGTGACTCGGTCAGTTCCGGACTGTCGGGGACGACAAATAGAAGACTCAGAGTGCACCCAGATGAGCTGTGAAGACAACGTGAAAGTTGGATGCCAGTGGGAAGACTTTATGCCACATTTCAAGCTTCTGAGCAAACGCGACGACGACGTAGTTGTAAACTCACTCACGTAAAAAGTAATAAAAGTATTAGGAATGAATACTTTCAACTAAGTGTACCAGAGTTTGCTGCAACTCTTTTGTCCCTCAAGTGTGTAAATTTTAGCGCGAAGGAAGGAGATGAAAAAAATCTCAACAAAGAAAAAAAAAGTTACACGATCTCCCGCTAAAGGGAACTATGTGCAGATGCGAAGCAGCGGACGTTAACGCTTTCATTGGTGGCGACGTTGACGTCGCCGCCAGTGTAAACGTTAGGAACCGCACTTCTTAACTTCAGGAATTAAAAAAAATGTTCATAGAGTTAGTTACGCACGCGATTATTCCAAGTCGACAGACGTCTTTTTGTTTTTTTTTTTCTGCGGAAACTTAGGAGCAAGTGTCACGAGACGATCTTGAACCCCAGCCAAAAAAAATTAAGCAGCATATTTTATCAGCTATGCCGGGATATACGTAGTGTGAGCTACGGACGGACGGACGGATGGATGGATAGATGGGCGTACTAGGGGGTGAGCTCACGCGAAATAAGCGCCAGCCAACGCCACACTCCAGGACCTTGCTGGCCTTGACTGCCTCGATACCCGCTCAGAGTGAAGACATCTGCGGCGGCCGCCATTATCACTCCCGCTGCATTCAGGTTTTGCTCTAGCACGTAGTCGCCCCAAGCCTAATGCGAACGGTTGTAGCCCTGGGGAACTCAGCATTGCTGGCCTTCCCTTGCGCGCTGAGTGCTGTGTGACGTCACTGCTCCTAGAGCATGCGCAGTGCGGCTCTGGACAAGCCACGCTATACTGCTCAACTTCATCCAGTGCAGCCTGCGCTACAAAATTAAACATGTGCCTGCTGAGAATAGTTACCAGCGCATGAAGAACTAAGGGGGCATCGGAGGAGGTTGGCTTGTGGATGCACGCACCGGTTAATGTTTAGTTTTTCCAGGCGCCCCACCAGAAAGGAAACGGGACAGACGCGGGGTGAGAATTCGACATGAACACGAGGAGATACAGCCGCTTCAGAGGGTGCTGGCCAGTCCATGGACCTTAGGCGGGCTTCCTATTATTTTTACCGACTGTCCTGCATCTAACGCCGTGGTATTCCACTGCCCCAAAGATCGGAGGCACCACTTACCGAGCGACGATTTCTCTGCGACGACGTCATCGACTGACGTCACGTTATTTTACGTCACAGTGACGCCGCGACGCAAACCATCACGAGGCGACTGTTTTTTTCCATCACTCCTGTTGAAACTGCCGGCGCTGATAATGAGTTTGTGCGTTTTTGTGAGGCATTTAGGGCCCCCGCCTCGATTTTTACAACAATAACAACGGTTAACTGATACGCGCCATAAGTCGGTTTTGTTATTATCGTCATCATCACCAAGAAAATAGACTGAGAAGAAGCAGAAGAAGAAACGTTGCGGTGTTCCCTTGAGGTCGTCGGGATCAGTTTTCGCTTTTTTGATTCCTTAAAGACCCCTATGACGAACATAGGTAAGCGCTGTGTGCCGTTTTCTTTTTCCTCCTGAAACTACGTACAGTATTTGCCATTTTTTAGGTAACAAAGCACGAATGAAACGCTTCTCAGTGGTGGCATATGCATGTGCAGGAAGCTAATCTCTGCTAGAGATTTCTTGTAACACAAAATGACCACGAGCTACAGGATATAGGCAGTGGCAGCACCGATTGATCGATTGATTGATGTGTGAGGCTTAACGTTCCAAAACCACCATATGATTACGAGAGACGCCGTAGTGGAGGGCTACGGAACTTTGGACCACCTGGGGTTCTTTAATGTGCAGCCAAATGTGAGCATACGGGCCTACAGCATATTTGCCTCCTTCGGAAATGCAGCCGCCGCAGCTGGGATTCGATCCCGCGACCTGCGGGTCAGCAGCCGACGAGCCGAGTATCAGCTGCAATGCAACGCATATTAATTGAAAATAAAATTAAGAAGAGCACATTAGACAACTGATAGTCCAAAATTAGACAACACATTAACAGAAAATTGAGTATTTACAGAACAGGAACGCCAATAAACGCCGAATTTTCTTTCAAAAAATTAACTCCGAATACCACCGGCTTCCAATTTAAAAAAAAAATAAACTTTGAAAACGAGGACCTCGAATTGTAATACACCGCAGGACTTTTCTGACAGTTCTAAATTATTCCAGTGCCAAATTTTACTATTTCTCACGCATTGCATACAGAAAAAGGAAAAAGTGGGGTGGGGGGTACCTTCGTTCTGTATAGCGAGAAATGGAATCTGCAGAAACAGCAGAGCTTCTCTTTGTATCTGCTTCCCTGGTGGCTTCCGGTGATATTCTGCGATTGCATATGGGTGTCCGTGATGCACAGAAAGGGATGTCTTGCAAGTCCCGCCACTTCCACCACTGCTAATTTGACTTCAGGCCCTTTGTCCGCTCGAGCCAGTTTACCCAGTTTCAATGCAAGGCTACCGCTTCGTCTGCGACCGAGACAGTATCGCCATCTATAGATGTATTGGGAATTGCAAGCGTGGGTGCTTAATTGCGAGAATGGTTTCCTAATCACATCATTTCTGAGAGCTGTATACAATGTCCCAACAAATTTTCATGGCTCTGTTTACATTTAAGACCAGAATAAAAAATAATTATGAAAAATATCGTGTAATCTGAGTTATCCGCGGGAAGTGCATCTAAAAGTACATTGTCTTTCTTTTTCTTCTTTTTTTTTTTGCACCTGCAACGAACTTCGAACAGGCAGCATCCGGCTATACCAGAGCGGCGCTGCTTTTAGTAAGTGCGTGCTTTCTTGAGTCCAAGTTCACTTCGGGATATCAAATTATCAAATTACGTTGCTTATCAACGTGCCTTTGTATTTTTATTGCACAACGCAATGGGAAAACTCGCCGGCTTGCTCCAACACGTGGACATAATCTTACAGCACGTCATCTCTTTCACTTTGGTTCACTCAATCGATGTAGAAGTGTTTAAGTTGCGCATCAAGGAAAGTCGACAAACCTGTTCTTGATTATTTCTCGCTATGTGAGGTATAAATAAATAAATAAAATGAGCAACTTGTAAGGTGTACTGAATAAAGGTACACGATAGATAGATAGATGGATATATAGATAGATAGATAGATAGATAGATAGATAGATAGATAGATAGATAGATAGATAGATA